AGTGTTTAAAGAGGTATAGTGCTGTCTACTCTCTTATTTGGATCTGAATCATGGGTCATCTACCGCCACCACCTGTGTCTCCTAGAACGTTTCCATAAACGCTGCCTCCATACAATCCTAAATATCCACTGGTCAGATTACGTGACCAATACATCTGTTCTAGAACAAGCAGCAATCACAAGTATTGAGGCCATGTTACTGAGAACACAGCTGCGTTGGACAGGGCACGTCTCCAGGATGAAGGACCACTGCTTCCTCAAGATCTTGCTTTATGGTGAACTTGCCACTGGTTGCCGCAATAGAGGGGCCCCAAAGAGAAGATACAAGGACTCCCTGAAACACCATCTCAACCTTGGCCATATTGACCAACATAACTGGTCTACTCTGGCCTCCAATCGAGAGACATGGAGACACACCATCTATAACACTGCTGATGCTTTTGAGAAAGCATGCAGGTTCATTCTTGAGGAGAAAAGACAACACAGAAAGAATCGTGCCTTGCAGAACATACCATCTAAGGAGTCTTTCTGCTGTGCCTTTTGCAACCGGACATGTCTATCTCATATTGGCCTCATTAGCCACCAACACGCTTGCAACAAACGTGGGTAGTGCCCTTCCCAAATCTTCGTTCGCAAAGCCTAGCCATGATGATGCAAATAGTCTACTTGTGAAAATGTGTATTGTGATGATAATGACAATGAGTATTCTTTTCTGTAAAGTACAGACAGCAAGACTTCAAGGCTGTGTATTATGGTCTGTGTATTTTTTACATGTATTAGTGTGTATTGGTTTCATCTAGGAAGGTGAGATTACCCAGTCGTGTCTTCTGTTGTTTGTCTCTTCCCCTTCATAGAATCATAGACTCAGCTGGGTTAGCATCATACAGATATTCAGTTGCAACAGTATAATTTGTTGTAGGGTATTTATTTACTAGGAATTTCTGAGTGGACACCAAACAGCTGATTGTATGAATCAGTGTTGAATAAGGAAAAAGGAAAATAAATTACCTATCTCATAATTCAGCATGAATGTAAGCTGATATTGCTGCCAGAAACAACAAGAAAACCCTACAAGGAGAACGTGAGATTGTATTTCTTCTCTTGTATTCTGTTTAAACTTTATCTTGACATGCTGAAGAAGACACTTAAAATTGCTGTAAATAGAAGAGCATATTCTTCACAGTCTAGGTGAGATCCAACTAGTTAGTTCTACTGAAAGCTGAATGAGCTTAATTTGTGATGAGATATTTCAAGTGTTAGAATGGTTTCCATTTTAATGGATATTACTGAAAATCAACTAAATTAATTTGGAAACTTGTGATGGAGAAGTAGTATGGTCTTTAATCATGTTTGTATAACCTAACAAGGAAGAAAAGTGCTCAGATATTCGTGAGAATGGGATCTGTGCCCTGAGGGGTAAAAAATCAGTGTAAATCATAGTTTTTCCAAACTTCTGCTGTGCAATATCATTGGAATACAGTACATGCATTGAACTTCCGTGTACTTAGTACGTCTTCAGTCATGTACCTTTCCTAAATTACAGTGGTATAATCTTTTGCTTATATAAATAAAATAGAATAAGACTTTTTTTCTTGACATGCGTTTATTGCATAGCTTGATATTGTGTTAAACATTTAAATATGAATTAATGTGGAACATTTAAATATGTACCATTCAAAGTTTCAAACAAATGTAGTGTTTATTAAAGCACTTAAAGTTATTTTTGTGTATTATTGCACATAAATTCAGTACAAAATATATTGTATTGAAGTTTTCCATTGTACTTTTCCCTTTATTCCTTATTTTTTTTTTAATTTTTGTCTTTTTAATTGGTTGATTTGTAACTTTTTATCCTGATAGTCACAATTGGGCCTCATCTGACATATAAATATATTTATTCTAAATGCTGTTTGGTAAAATCTTACTCGTTTGAGATTAGTGTCTGGATTTCTATAATGATTTTTTACTATAACTTTTGTTTTATGCAGTGGCTCAAAACTCTTTTTTCGGTAGTTATGTATCTCTGACGTGTATACATCACTTCTGCATGTGTTTCAAGGAAAAAATTTTCTAATTGCTACATTTAAGTGCATAAAACAGTCTCTTAGAATTTTAATTATTCGTCTTCTGAAGGCTGATAGATATCTTGCTACAGAAATCTTGTTTCATGCTCCCTTTTCTTTGGAAACATTTTTCACCTGTTGTATTTAATTTATAATAATTGTGTACGTCTCAAACAGATCACTGGTGCCATTTTTTTCTTAAAAAGTAAGGTGAGGTTTTGGAGGAATGTATTACATTTTTAAAATCAAACAATTAGTTTAGTGGATAATGTGGAAACAGAGAACAGTCTTCTGCAATTCATGTAATAGATAAATTAAAATATCTTAACCTGTTTTCCTTAGAAGACAAAATTAAAGACGTGTAAAAGTAACAGTAAACCTTTTCTATAACATTGTTAATTAATTAGATTTCAATTTAGATCTGGAGGAACTAAAGCTAATCTTTTTGTCCTAGACCTTGTAATGTTTCAAAACCTTATCAACTGATTATACTCTAGAGGGGTTAAAATAGTACTAGCTTGCCTCATTATCTGCAGTTGAAAATCTTAAGCTTGCTGTCCAAATCTATATTAAAGCCCCTGTAATGGGTCCAATTGAAAGAAGCATATATCTACCTTCAGGCATTAATTAGCACTAATAAATTTTTCTTAACTTTTGTACCTTCACATGATTGTATTTTTCTTTGTACTAAAATGTTTTTGTTAAATTAAGACAAAGGTATACAGACGTTATTGCCATTTAAACACTTTATTTCCAGTAGCGTGTAAGCCTGATTATTCTTGTATAATGAGGGACAGGAGGATAATTTCAGTAATAAGGAGTTCAGATGAATGTGTCAGCAGTGATGAGATTATGCAAAGTTTATAAACTCTTGGGAAAAAAAGTTTGTCCAGTGAAGGAGATTTATGAATACTTCAGACAAAATATGTCTGAGGACACTAACACATTTTTTTTTCCTTAAAAAGTTCATTTTACTCAATATGTACACTGGAAAAGGGATCAGCCTTCAGTGGTGAAACCTGTGTTTTATGTAGCACCTTTGAACTGCATCAGTGAATTATCATATATCTTTGTGCCTCTTCTCATAAAATTAAGACAGGGAAATCTTGTTAAGGACCTGATCTCAGAGAGAAAGGTGGGGAAGGAAAATATATTATTCACATAGTTGAAAGCTGCTGATTTTGGTTTATTGATAGAACGCTACCTGAGGTAGGTAGTATGATGACTATGGCTAATATCTGTGGGCTTGTTTGTTTGAATAAATTAATAAGCTGTAAATTACAGTGTACCTTTACAGCTCATTAGTATTTTTGTTTGAATTCATAGCAGGAATGATTTTTCTACCTGTTGAAAATCTGTTTCTGTGACGTAGGTAACTCCATTTTGAGGCAAGTCATTTTCCTACTTAACTCTGCAAAAAACCAGCTCTATTGGGTATTCCTACAGGTGTGCTGTAAATCCGTGCTTTACCTTTTCAGTAATTTGCCTGTGTAGCCACTCCTGAAGTTGGCTAAAGCTTCTGGATCTTTATAACTCAGCCTTCATACTTTTAGTGGTGATTCTACAAAACTATGATATGATAGCTGCATTTGGATTAGACAGGAAAAAGTACAGTAAGTAAAGGAATGTGATGTCTCTTGTCCTCTGCCCATTACGTTAGTTTGAAATGCATGATTTCTTAAATATTGAGCAGAATATTCAAGCCTAGAAAGAAGATCTCATTCATCGTCTTGGGAGCTAGTGTCTAGTTCAGAAATTTCTTTTCAGTCCAGGTAAGCATAGTTATCGTATAGCCAATGAGTTACAATAGCATAGCCTTTTTTTGTGAGGTAGAAATGGTTTCTAAAGCCATTGGAATCTGCTTTTACTGTAGAAGAGATTAACTGCTTAACTGTGTTCAGTATACTATTTCATTGCTGTAGTGACACCTTTTTTTTTTAAGTTCTAAAGTCAGTATGGTTTTAAGAGGTTGAAACTGGATTTTGTATATCATGGCTTTATATTGGAATACAGGCAGATTTCCTCAAGTTCAAGAAGATGGTTGTGCTTTTAAGGATCAATTAGCAGTGCCCTGTGAGATTAGGTTCTGGCCTTGCGAATCTGCTGACATCACTTAGGAAGGAGCTTGTCGGAACACTTGGTCAGAGCAATGGCTGTTCTTTCTCTGCTAAACCTGATCTGGCAGCATTGATGTATATGAGGGTAATGAAATACTGCTATGTCAGGCATAGATGCTAGCACGTATTGATTCCTGCAGATCTCAGATTGTCATGTGCACTTCCAGAGGCAGAGGCTAACTCACTCTGAGAACGTTGTATAAGCCTTGCTGGAAAGGAGACCACAGGAAAAAAAAACCAAACCTAATTCCATCAAGATCATCCTCTTCAATGAGGATAAGAGAAAAGCTCATTTAGCAGATTGTTGATTTTGGTTTGAGATTAGTATGGGGAATAGGGGGTAAAAAAGATGCTTTGGATTTTCTGTTGCCTGGCCTAGAAGGCTGTGCTGCTGCTTATTTTCACAACATAGTTGCTAAGAGGAAAGGAAGGAATAGAGAAAAAAATCAGTTTATTGGGCAGTGTTGCTTTACAGCACTGGGTTATGGGTCATATAGAAAATCTGATCTGTCCTGGTGTAGAGGATCACTAGTTGTGGCAAAACTGTCAGATTATATTGTCAGTGTTTGCAGTAGTTATCCTGAGAGCTGTTATACCGTCATTAGAGGAAAATGGACAGTTAATCTCTAAATGTAGCAGATGCATTGCTGCAATACATGCTGTACTGGTTGATATTGATGGTGCATTTATTATGGATGTACAGCTTTTCGATTTTGAAAAAATGCTGTCTTATTTCCAAACTAGAGGTGTGTTTTTGTGAAAAACTGCCTCTAAGTATTTCCTCTTTAAAGGGCAAACAGCTTCTGTATTCCTTGTTTCAGAGATGGAAAACCTATTGCACAGGTGCCAGAAACAGCATTTGGCTCCCTTATTAATGCAAAAATGCAGCAGCTGTCAGTGTTTTCTTGCACTGTACCTGTGCAGCAGAAGAAACCAGGAGAAAGGGATACAAAGGGTTGCAAGGTATTGTAAGAAAAGATCTGTAAAGGTTTGTTTTAGCAGATGGGAGAAAGAATGTGCTGCAGTGGAGTTGTAAGGAGCAGCTTGAGTGGAAGGAGATGATGCACATCGTAAAAAAGTTTTGTCCACACTGTGACCTACTCAGTAGGTTGTTGATGAGAGATGGTTCCACTGCTGCTAGGGGAAAGTGAGGTGCTAGACTTGCAAGGGTGATACACTCCATAAAGCTACTGTTTATTTCCACCACATGTTTAAATACTGAAAAATTCTGACAGGTGTTTCGATTAAGATAGCAAACTTTGCTGAAGACACCAAATTAATCACATCAGACAAGTCCAAAGAGGGCTGTAGGAAACATGATGTTTATAGTACATTATGCTGTTTGACCCTTCCTTAGTCTGTGGGTGAGATGAGAATTCAGGAGCAAGGCCGACTAATAGTAGAGGAGTAAATACATATTCCCTACCTGCAGGATGAAGTCAGCTGCTCATATTGTGGGTCTGCTTCTCTGTAGAACCATTTTACTTGATCCTCTTAAAAAAAAAGAGCTTTAAAGAATCTTCATTTTCTGTTCTATTTCCTGCAAAACAGACCTGCCTTTTTCCTCCAGCACATAAATGGTAGGAAAACACATTTGAATGGACAGTGTTTTAAGAGTGTTTTTCCTTGTCTGCATCTTTAAGTTACCATGTTTTATTTCATGTCTAGTATTGATAGAAATAGGCATTCAAAAATTCTCATTCATTTTGGAAATTCATTTATAGGTGCCTGCTTGCAGTTTCATACTGCTTTTCCTCAGAAACAATTTTTTAAATTGCTTTGTCTCAGGGAATCCTGGAAAGCATGGATGAGGAAAAACAAACCAACTTCTGCTAGTATGAAAATCAAGTGAGCTCCCCTACTTTGATTACTCTCTATTTGTGCTTGGTTTTTTAATTTAATTAAGATTGTTCTAGCAGAAAGTTAGGTGTGAAAAATAGGAATTAAAAGTGGGATATGTGTGGGAGACCAGGAGAGGTTTGATTACAAGCAGTGGAGAAAAGAAATAGAGATATGTGAAGAGATCTGTGGGACCCCCAAGGAGACCACCTTTTCTACATTCAGATGATGGATGGGACTGTTGAGACTCTGCAATTGTGTTCATGTTCAACGTTCATTGTATTTTTACCCTTTATTGTACCCTATTCCCCAGTTTTTATAAAAAATCCTCAGTGTTCTGTACCCCAGTTTGTGCCGTTCTCCCTGATTGGCTCACAAGTGTTGCATTGCAGTAACTCATTATGAAGTAATCCCTTATTTGGTTATTATCTCCCTTTTTTTCTCCTTATATGGTCTGCATTAGCATTCTCTTCCCTAACTCCTCCCTAACTCCACCCACGTTTCCAGTATCTTCCTTCCCTATCCTTTATAAGTCAGCTCCTCCCTTCATTAAAGGTCCATTTCAGCCTCTGTCTCTGAAGTGGAAGAACCTTTATTCCCCCGGGCTGTGTCAGATATGCATTCAAAATACTGTTGCATGAGTTATGTCACTTGCTATTTTTCCTTGGTTTTTCATCCTTGTTAGGAGTCAAGTTATAAGTTGAATAGTCAGCTGTGAATACAGGTATCTTCTGGAATCTGTCTACTGTGAAATCAGGTAGCACTGTCGACATTTTACTTTCGGAGCAGTATGGATTTAAAAATAACTTCTGATTTATATTATAACTGGCTAGTGTCATTTTGACTCTGGAAGGACACTACAGAATGCAGCAGATGACTTTTATAGCATATGGTTACCTTTTCATGAATTATTTACATGGAACTTCTGTTCATCCTACATCTGAAAATAATTAAAGAATCTAATGAATAGTCATGAGATGAAAGAGAGTGGATTTCTTTTGTTCATTTTATTATTTTCTTTTTTTTTCCTTTATCTGGGAGAACTGTATGAGAATATGACTGTTATTTGTTCAACATGCATATGAGTGTTCAAGTTTAGAACCATGAGAACTAATAAAGTTGTAAAAAATTTAAAGGGGGATTTAAGAAACTTAAATCAAGGGAAGCTGTGAGATGTTACTCGCACATTTTTAGTGGTGTCTACTTATTGTTCAATTCCTGCTAGAAATAAAAGGAGAAGGTGGAAGGAGAGGAGAAGTTAAAGAGTGCGGTAAGTCAACCTCAACTACTTGGTGAGGAAAAAGAGATGATTAAAGGAAGGGAATAAGTCACAAAAAGTTGAAGTTGAAATTTTGAGGAAAAGACATTTGAAAGAAACAGTATTCTCACATTTAAGCTTTAATAAAATAATTTCTTTACTAAATTAATTTTGTTTCCACTTAAGATGTCAGGATTTCTTTAAAGTCACTGCTTGTGAGAAAATACTTCCATTTTTCATCAGTTTCTATTAATTTTTACTTTTTTTTCATGTGGTATATTAGAAGTGGACTATGGCACAGTGAAAGCTTCTGATAAAGAGTTCAATGAAGAAAGCGCAGAATATAGTGTTTCTTTTTACCCTGATCCTTTCAGTGGTGGAAATCAAATGCATGCTTCTTTGTTGCAGTCATAAATGGACAACTTAATATTGTGGTGCAGAGATTTGAGTATTTTCATGAAGCGCTTCAGCAGCCAGCGTGTTTTTGCATTTGTGTATTTTTAGCATTGTTAGCATTGAAGGATATATGTCATCCTTGTATTTCTGCTAGATGTTTTCTCTCTAGTTTGAGTTAACTTGTTGTTGTGAAGTAAAACCTGCTCTTATCTGCAATTTATGAACCCATATAGAGGCAGGTATACAATACTGATTTAGTAGTGCAGTCTGATCAAATTTCAAAATGCAGAGATAGGAGTTAGTTTTTCCCTGTCTTGACCCCCAAAATATAAAAGTTTGGAGAATACTTTATGCAGTAATAGCAAATACAGCTGTTGTTTCGTAGTTCTTTCCATATGCTTTTAATTTAGCAGATTAAAAAAAATCTTTCACTGAAGACTGGAATTTCAGTGATTATGTCTGCAACATCAAACAGTACATAACTTCTGGTAATTGTATGCTAACTCATATTGTTTTTGGAATCAGACTCCTAGTGTTAAGGAGTTGTTTTTGTTGCCACTTTCACTTTCTCCATACTGTCTAAATTCGCAATGATGGAAATGAGGTTTTAATTTAAAAGCTTCTGGTTTATATCTGTTCATATAAAATATGGACAGATAATTTTAACATCCTATTGCCATGAAAAGACTGAGATGTTCAGAACTAAGACAAAAAAGGGTTAATTTCTTCTTACAGTTTTGACCTGTCATTTTCATAGCAGATTTCCTCAGTTTGACTTAGTATGTTACTATGTTTCCTCTTCAGGTTGATATGAAGGTATTTAAAAAAGTAGTATTTTCCAGTAAACAATGTAACATTATTATGGAAGAAAAAAAATTGTATTGTGCTGTAGTTAAGTAACGCTGTGGGAAAGATGAAAAATGAATTCTGGAATGACAGTCCTCTTAAACATCAAAAGGTCTGCTCCACCAGGTCACAGTGTTTCTTTCTTTGTATGTACTGTTGCCTGGAGCACTCAGGGCTCCAGCAGTATAGAGGGAATACTCTTTGATTCTTCCCAGCTAAACAAAAGAGTAAAATCAGATTCTTTTGGTTTTCATTCGAGAAAATTCATCTCTAGAATACAGTTTTCTTTCTTGGAAGTTTGTCTATGGAAAAACCTTTGGAAGTGTACTTTAGCTGTTTTAGTTATCACAGAAATATAGAATCAGCTGGGTTGGAAAAGACCTCCAAGATCATCACCTGGTGAAATCTGTTAAAATAACCTCATATAGGAGGTTGCCCTGTATGTTGATCAGGTATGTTTTTCTTCCCTGCTGTTTCACTTGCCTATCTGAATAGGAACACTGCTTATGTTCTCTGCTTAAGAAATCAGTCTTTACTCTCTTTCTCCTATTATGGAAGGTAATTTGTAGGTTGAGGAAGCAAAGTACAAAAACAGCTGCACAGGCAAGGGCAGATGATAATTTACTTGTCTGTATCTAGGAAATTCTTTTCTATGACCCTTATTTCTGCCCAGTCCTAGCTCCCAAGTAATACTTCTGGGTTTTTTCCCTTCTTTACAAGAATGTGAAATGAGCAGATATGAGAGTAAAAGTTCAGTTCATTTAGAGGAAAAGATAAGAGCATGCAAAGTGGTAACCCAAGTAAAATGCTTTGAAACGTAACAGGATTTTTTTCTATGCAAGTGTAACTTCCCTAGATAATGTCTCACTACTGCTGCAGTAGATGACTTTGTAGACTACTCAGGTGAGTTTGCTGCTTAGTAATTGATGTGGTGTATTTGCCTCTTGATTAATTTAAAATGTTAAGGGGGTCAGTTGTGGAGATAAGTAATTAGTGTGCAAGTCTGACTCAGGATAAGTAGCTTATTTCAGTTGAAAATTTAATCTCAGCAATACAGAACAAACATTTGAAATAGCTGGCAGCTGTTTTGTACCTTCATGTCTCCATTCATCCTCAACATTGCTGGAAAATATCCCATTCTAAACAGAACTTAAATATCTTTGATTTCACATCACAAATATATGTATGCTTACCATTTTCCACACAGTACATAATGAAACTAAATAGTAACATGATGTAGCTCTGTACTCAGAAATTAGATCCTTGAAGAGCTGGAGCTTTTAAGAGTGTGCGTATTTGTGAATTTTTAGGTCAGAGCCAACAGTCTCTTTCAGATAGGTGGAATTTTTGAGGGTGTTCTTCAGACACAGACTTTGTCTTGAAAAATGTTAAACAAGTAGTAATGAGCTGGCAGGAAAACTCAAAGGAGCTGCTTACTCAAGTTATATGAGGACCTGGGGAGTAGGAGGGCAACACACAAAATAACTGATGCTTTCCATAGTAATGTGGGTTCATACCTTTTTAAAAATTCAACTAAATCATCTCTCAGCAACAGTTCATTCCTGCAACTGTAATAATATATCCGAAGTGCAAATATTTTGAATGGTGAAAGTATGACTTCAGATGTATTGTTTTGTGTGTTTTTACCCAGCAAATTTTCATTTCTATTCATGTCTTACATACCTGTGAACCAGATGTAACCTTTGAATACCAAAACCCCTTACATATGTTATCAGCAGTATTGTAGATTAATCTAGAGGTATATCATCTTGTTGATAATTTCTTATGTTTCTGAACACATTCATTTTAGCCTATGTATTAAAGGCAGAGCAGTTACATTTTTGTCCTGACATGAAAGTTGCATCAATTTTGTACTACATTTACAGTGTCACTGCTAGGAAAATGTTAGATTAATGCCCTTTTGATTTCCTTAAGAACAGGCAGGACAAAACAGTATGTGGAATTAAAACAAACTCCTGGAGAAAAATGCAGCTTTCTAATATGCATTTAAGAATGAGGGTGTTTTAGTACAAATGTCATAAGAATAGAATGTAAGTATTTATCACAGAAAGTTGAAGTTCTTTTTTTATGGCAGTGAGATTTTTCATATGTGAGTACACTGAACTGTTATATGCATTGAGCAGTGTTGTATTATTTTCCTCGAGCTGCAAATTCAACTAGACTTAATTCTTTCTTTACAACTATTTTGTTTCATAATCTTTTTGGAAGCTTCACTTAAAAGTAATTTCTAATTACTATCAAAATTCTGGAGAATTTTGAAGTCAGCTCTCTGACTTGATTTTTGGTGTGCTAGAAGTTCAAGTTAAACAATATTCTATTGTGTTCTAAGTACATAAGCACAGATAAAACTTCTGCAAATGAGCTTCACTGAGTAATTTCCATTCAGTTCTGTATTTATTGACTTCTTCATTCAGTAGCAGCAAGATATTCGGTTCCTCATTTACGTTATTATGTCTTACAGTCATTCAGTTTTGCGTATGATTAAAGTACTAATGAAATTAAAACAATGCTGTAAAAATTATGTATGTCAGATAGTTACACTTCATAGGTCTAAAACACAGGACATGCACGCCCTTTCGCAATTGCTTTTTGTCTGTGAACACTTTTTTTTTAAATTTAAATAGAGACTCACAGGACAGCACCAGGAGATAAACAGCTTAATGCAGAGAAAAAATGCTGTGGAGGAGGAAAATGCCTGTCTGAAGAATGAATTCAGTACCTTGAACCAGAAATTTAAAGATAAAAGCCAAGAACTTAAGGTATATTGACTTGTACATCGTTTCTTAAGACTGTAGCTTTGAAGCAGTTCTTTAAGCAATGTCAGCCTTTGTGGCACAGAAAGTGACAAGCTTGGTGAAAAAATTGCCTTAGGCCTTGCTATACCTTACCATTTTCTCACATACCAACTCTGAGGAAGATGCTTTAAAGCCAAGAATCCAAGCTTTATAACTTTCAGATAAATAGTTAATGATGGAAATGGAGCAAAGAAAGTAGGAGTGTGAAGATGTGGCTTCTTGTAATTAGATTCTGATGGGACTGGCATTATTAATTGATAAAGCCGAGGTCTGGGAGGATATGTCTGTGTGGGTCTCAAAAATAGCTGGGGACAGCATCAAAGGCAGCTTGATCAATTAATGGGCTCTTTGCAAATGTGTACTCATCAAAGCTGTCATCCAGCTAAAAAATATGACCCTTCCACCTGCATGAAAGAGGCCAATAAAAGTACACAGGTGACCTTGGCCATCAAATATAGAAGAAGCTGCTGTGAGGGTAAAACTGCACAGTTTATATTTGCTGATTAGTTCTCACTTTTTTTGTTTATCGGCCCTTGTGGTACTGTTCTACAGGACACTGAGGAGTGTGCACAGAAGAAGGAAGAGCAAAACAGACTGGTTATAAAAAACCTGGAGGAGCAAAATAAGGGATTAAATACATGCTGTGCTGACCTGCTGAGTGACCTGGAGAAACTGAGGAAGCAGGAGGCACAATGGAAAGTGGAAAAATGTGGCAGTGATGCCATAATAAAGGTACGAATTGGAATGGACTCCTGGATGTTATTTCAGAATTAACTTCTCTAGACATTTCACTACAAGTTATTTTCTTTAAATAGCAAGTTATATATTCAAATCTATCAGTGGGGACTTGCATTCATTTACATTCCTTCACTTAAGACCCACAGCTTTTTAAAAATTGATGTTGCAAAGCAGGAATCTGACTTCAAATAGTAATCTTAAAATGTAATCATTAAAAAATAAAAGATACTGTACAATAAGATAATAGATATATATGTGAAATAATAACAGCTTAAAAGTATTATCACAAATTTTTTCTTGATGTTTAATTTACTTACCTATAATTTTGTTGCAGTAGTCTTCATAATTGTTGTTTTGCAAGAACACTTTAAATTTTAAGTGTAATTTCAAATAAATTGCATCCTAGCCTCCAAAGGTCTCCATTCTGTGAGAGAACTTATTATCGTTTATAATATATTAAAAAGTTATTTTCACTGTTTATGAGAAAACAAAAAAGAAAATAATTGAATACATGGTACAGAATATTTTCTCTTTTATTTAAATGACACTTTTTCTTGTTTGCTGGTGAAAATTGGCTAGCATTTTTTTAAATTCTTTAAAAGAAATAAACCACAAACATAGTATCTTAGTGTTTGTCAACTACTTATATACATATCTAGGTAGTGGCTTCTTATTGTTTACATGACTAATTGTACACTTACAATGTTGTGTTCTTTTACATTATTGAAGTATATTTATTGTAGTACCTAATTAATACCTCACCCAGAAACATCCTTTTTTCTTGCACTAGCAATTCAGTTGTTTTGGTCCTGCTTCCAATTGTTGTGCTGATGGAAACCCTTTGTAAAGAGTTTCATTCAGATCTGTTAACATGCGAGGTCAAGTTCCTACAAATTGGCTCCTTTGGAGGGTTATCATGAAAGGATTATGGGATTCCCAGGGCAAGAAATGGTTTGTTGATACTTGGGACAGAAAAATCTAGTGTGTTCTAAACCGATGTAATAATTTTCAAGTTGTCAAATGTAGTGCTTGTAATATTGGATAAATTATTGGAAATCTGTTATGCATACCTTCAGTGAACACAGAATAATTTTTATGTCTCTCTCTTCCTGGCTGATGAGGCATGCTTATGAGAGAAAGGTGTGTCAGAGCCAGGTGATTGCAGGGATGGGAATTAGTAGTGTTGGTGTTTCGGAGTGGCATTACAAGCAGGTCAAGGTGTTGTTTAGACTATGACAGAGGTTACTTCTGGGTATGGGTGTTGCCTGAGCCAACCAGGGATGTCACACAGCTGGATTTGCTGTTTACAAACAAGGAAGAACTGATTAAGAAAATAATAATGGCAGGCTGGGCTACAGTTACCATGAAGTTGTCAAGACCAAGACCTGGAGGCAATGAAGGAAGGAGAATAGCACAGTGCAGACCTAGAGGTGAGGAGCAGTGTCTTCAGCTTGTTCAGAGAACCAGTAAGTGGAATCCCATGAGAAGCAGCATTGAAGGATAAAGAACTCAGGAAAAAATATCAAGTCTTCAAAGACATCTTCCTTCAATCACACATATGATCCACTCTGATGCTCAGGAAAACAAGTAGTTATATCAGGAGACCAGTGTGGTTAAACAGAATTAATCACCAGATGCCAGGGTGGGTGTGGAAAACAGTATTCAGGAAGTAGAAACAGTGAAAGCTATAGAGGAGGAGTTCAGAAGCATTGTCTGAGCACTCGGGGGTGGTGGTAACCAACCTGCAGTTGACTTGCAAGTAATGACTGTTACAACATGAGTTTCTTGCACTACTTTATCAGTAAAAAGCAGAACGAGTAAAATGGGGACCTGTTGCTGAAACAGAATGATGAATTAGTGACAGAATGTAATAGATACAGCATAGGTACTAAACATCATCTTTGCCTCAGTCTTCTTCAAGATGTCCCCAAAAGTTTGTGCCTGGAGACAGGCTTCAGTGAGAAGTACTGAGAGTGGATGTGTTGGGAGATACCTGAGAGATCTTGACTAGTACACATCTGTTGGACCACCTGAAAGGAACTGCATCCAAGGGTGCTGGGAGATTTGGCTGATGGCACTCTCAGGCAGCTGCCTATTGTCCTTCAAAAGTAGCAGAGAACTTTTATTGGGGGAACTCCCTGATAAAAAGGATAATCCAAGAACAAATCACAAAGGGAAAATCACAAAGAAGGTCATCTTGGAAGTAGTTTCTGGGCACTAATGGAGAACATGACCAGAAACAATAATGGATTTACCAAGGGTGAATTGTTCCTGAGCAACCTGATTGTCTTATGTGATAAAATGATTGTGTCTGTGGACAAGAGGAGAGCTTGGCTGTGATTGACCTTAACTTTAGCTAATATTTGACACTGTCTTGCTGTATGCTTTTATCCAAGTTAGGATGTTATAGCTGGATAGGTGGACAGCAACATGTTTAAAGAAACTATTTGGATGGTTGGATTGAGAGAGCTGTAGTTAATGGGTTGTAATAGTCTGTAGTCTCGTGGTAAGTGGGGTACTGTAAGATCTATCCTGGACCTTTCTTGCTTAAAATCTTTGTCAGTGACCTGGAAGACAGGATAGGACCTGGAAGAGGGAACAGTGGGTGTGATCATCAAGTTTGCAGATGACACCAAACTGGGGAGAAGTGGATGTGCTTGAAGGTGCTGTTGCCATCTGGGGGGAGCCTTGACAGAACTGGGACAACGGGAACCTTAGGCAGGACAAATGAGTCTTCCCCTGTGAAGGCAGAGCCCTGCAGCCAAACAGGGAGCACCTCTGGGCAGTGGCAGGTAGCACGCTGCATCGGGGCCAGCAATGAGAGGTATGAGTGGGGCATGGCCCCAGAACTCTACTCAGTACTCTAGATACCACACCTCTTTTTGGGTACTGTTTTTGGTACATTTGCAGTACTGAAAGACATCAGTAAACTGGCTGAAGGTGGGACAGTGGACCTGGAGACTTTACCTTGCAAGGTAAGGTGGTGGGATAGGCTGACTCAGCCAGGAGAAGGAATGGCTCTGGGGCTGGGGCCACCCAGCAGCATCCCCAGCACGAACAGGAGGGGTTGGAGGAGGTACAGTCATTCTTTACATCTTTGTGTGTTGGAGTGGTGAAAGGCAACACAAGCTGAAAGAGGAAAACCTGAGGCTAGAGTAAGCCTTTTTCCCAGGAGGACAGCCCAGGAGAGGGATGGGGTCCCATGGAGGTTGGACCATCTCCATCCTTAGATTTTAACCCTTGACTTTATAAAGCCCTGAGCAGCCTGGTTGCCCCCTGCCAGGTGAACTTGCTTTAGTCAGGGACTGTGACTTGAGACTTCCTGCAGTCTCTGCCAGCCTGCATGTGTCCATAGGTCTGATGCCCCAAGCTTATGCTCCTACCTCCCCTTTTTTTTTTTTCCTTATAGGGATGTTATGCAAGTGATTATACACCTTTGCTAGCAGACAGTTAGATGAAGTCATCTAACAAGACTACTGCAAGTATTGAGAAGCAGACTGAAATTACTGTCTGCAAGAGGGAAATATATTTGACCTCTGGGAAGTAGCAAGATGTTGTCTCATCATTTTTATAAATATTTTGTACTATAATAATTTGTAAGACCACACAAAGTTGTTTTTATAGTTCTTCACTCGTTTTATATATACTCTTCCTGTAAATATTTTCTTGAAAATCTAAGTTTCAGTTTGAATTAGTTTTTCCCTCTGTTCTTGACATTCCTCATTTCTATTACATATTGGGTGCCAGATTGGCTCTTAACAGGATGCTTATAAACAAAAAATATAATAGTTTTCATATCTACAGAGGTCAAATATGACATTGTCACACTATACAATATTAAGTTCCAGTTGATATTCTTATGTATACTTTTTAGCAGTAAACACTCTATTTAACAGTGTTATAGATGATGTTTTATACAGGCACTATCCATGTTAGTTTCCTCTATCTGAAAGAATAAAATCAATCCTTATCAATATGAGCTACCCCAACATTGTCTTTAAAATGTGTATTAGATGACAGAAATGCTAGATCTAAGTAACAGACTGCCCCTTTGGAAAAGTTCAGAGAGTGAACTAAGTGTTACTAGCCCATTTTTTTTCAGTCCTTAAACCATTTTCTGTGCAGAGAAGTACCACTTCTCATTTTCAAAGACTGGTTGTTTTTCAAACCTATTATAATATGAATTCAGGTATAAATTTCAACTACTTAAAAATTGAGAGAAAGAAAAAGCTATGGCTAGTTTGTCCTTTTAAGGAGCGTTTCTTTAAATGTTTGTCATACTAGCCGAAATCAGAGTGAGGTTAACAGGAAGACACCTGATAAGGTGGCTAAAATGATGACAATAGTGTTTTATTGTTTGTCTTTTCTATGTGTACCTTCATACAAATAAGGTTCAGTGTACAGAAGGTTAATGTAGGGGTTTTCTTTCTGCCTTAAAGTAGCTCTTGAGAACTTTTTGAGCTGCTTTTATGCTTCCCAGGGCTTATATCAGCCTTCTGTATCTCCCAAAAGTGCAGAACTGGAGTAGTTGTCAATCAGCCAGTTTATGCATGTATGTGTCTCCCTATCTAAGAATCAGTTAGGCTTTTGAGTTATTTTATTCTTTGGGTGAAGGTTACCTAAGCTGTTGTTTAATATTAAGAAAAATGTATTTTTTACCAAACTCAAGTCACAAAAAAGCTTTGTATGTAGGTAAAAGAAGACAGACTGTCAGATTTTAAGTGCAGGGGACTAAAAGATAGTGGAATTGCTTACTGGTTGGTATTTGATTGTTTTTAATTTCTAGTTAACACAGTACTTTTTAAAGTTTCTAAAGTCTGAAGGTGGGAACTTTGAAAGAAATGGCCATCTCTGTCAAGAGGAGCCTGGGATATTAATTCCAGGAGAGTTTTGTTGAAATGGGAGCTTGAAAAATTACTCTCTTCTGTCATAATGTATTATGGGGAAAAAAACCATGAAAAGAAAACTGCTGTCTTTGAAAGTGACTTTCGAAG